CAATGCCTGGCTATTCTTTGGTTGCAGCCATCATTGTTGTTTGGCGGGCCCGGGCTGGATTTGAACCCACCACTTTAGGTATATGTGGCTGGCGCCCTAGCCACTTGAGCCACAGGTGCTAAGCTGAAAATAGTTCTTTTAACTGAGGTGGGTAAGCTGCAGAGAGGGCAGGTTTGGGGAGGAATAGGAGGAGTCCATGTTGGCACACATGGGTTCAGAGATAGCTCTGAGCATCTAATGGAACATGTTCAGGTTGCAGTGAGTCCCAAGAGTCTAGCATTAGTGAGCAGTCTGGGCTGGGAATATAAATTAGGGAGTGATCAGCCGATAGTTGGGATTTAAAACTATGAGACCAGCTGAAATCGTTAAGGGAGTGGGTAGAGAAAGAAATAAGAGATTTAAGGAACAGGGAGACACTCCAGTGTTAAGAGGTCATAGGGAACAAACAGCAAAGGAGACTGAGGGAGAGTGGCCAATGAAAGACAAGAAAAACCAGGAGTCTAGAAGCCAGGTGAAGATGCGGGAGCAGGGCTTTGATGGCTGAACAGGAGTTTGTTAGGCCAGTGATGCTCAAAGTGTTGTCTCAGACCAGCTGCAGCAGCAGCAGCTTCTGGAAGCTTGGTAGGAAGCTTGTTCTGGAATGTGTTAGAAGCTTGACCGGATCTCAGGTCCCTGTCCAGATTCACTGGGTCAGAAACTCTGACGGTCAGGCCCTGGAGGGGACTCTGTTGCACCCTCCAGTTTTATAACCACTGTCCTCTTCACAAAATTGCCTGCACAAAATTATAAAGAGGATAAAGAAGAAGAAGGAGGAGGAGGAGGAGAACTCTTAGTTTACTGGAAGAGAATATTGTTGGAAACCTAGCTAGGACTCAGGTTCCTTAGAGGTACCACCTCCTCAACGACCAGCAAGGCAGAAATGCGCTTGCCCTCTAGCTCCCAGTTTAGAACCTTCTACTAATCAGTCTACCATGGTTCTTTGGGAAAGAGGAATGCCCCCATTTCACCGTACGAAGGAAATGCTGAGCACCAGGCATGCCAGACATTCCAACGGCTAAAAGGAGGGTGCAGTTCCAGGGTTAGGGTTGTTATGCACAAACTCTTGAGATATAAAGCTGTTCCCAACTGTTCCCACATTTTCCTCTGGGCTGTCCTAGGAGAATTCCACCCTCTTCCATTCTGGGGAGAAGTTAAAATTAGGGCCAACCCTGCGGGGCTGACATGCCAGATGCGGGAGGCTGTCCCCAGAAATAAGCTGGTTCCCACCGCGGATGGGCGGGGCGGGCGCCTTGGTCCTAACTCCGCAGAGAGGCTCCTGGAAGGCCGGCCCCTTCCCAGAGTCTGCAAGGGGTCTGGTCCCAGGCTTTAAAATCCAGAGCGAAGGCGCTGCGTGCCGGCTTCTCCTCTCCAGCCAGTCGTGGCCAGCCTTTCAAAAGTGTGTAGTTGTCTCCTCCCTGCCCGGCCCCAGTGGTCGCCCGGGACCAGTTGGCTACTGAGGGGCGGCGGCAGCTCAGCGCCGTGCTCTGCGTTCGGACACCTCTGTTCCGGAGCCGCTCTGCCAAGTTAGGCAGCTGCACTCGCACGCCTTGCTTCCCTCCCCGAGTCCCCGGGTTCCCGTGTCCCCAGAGCTCTCGGCGACCCCGGCTCCCACGCATCCTTTTACCAGGAGCAGCCCGTCCCCGCCGGCTGGCAGATTGCACCCCTTCCCAGTCCTCCTCCCTGAAGAGCAACCATGCTGTTAAGGGGCGTCCTCCTGGCAGTGCAAGGTAAGGCCCAGGCCAGGGGACACCCCCGGGGGGCGCTCTGGCGACTCGTTCCTGAACCCCTGTGGGGCCCAGCGGACGGTGCAGGGCTGGGCCAGCCGAGGGCGCCTCCCGGTCCTCCTGCGCAGCCGCTTGCCTCCCTCCTCCGGCGGAGACCAGCGCAGACCAGCGCGGTGGGCGTGGGGTCTCGCAGCCCAGGCGCCTGGAGTGCTGGGTGGGGGAGGGGAGTGAGCGCATACCCCCTCCAGTCCCTCCTGCCCCTCCTGCACGCCTTCTCCCCACTTTCACCAGGTCGTCCTCTGGGCTCCCCCAGTTGCGTGCTAACGCTGGCAGATGGGAGCCCGAACTGAAACTTGCTTTGTGCCCGCAGCCCTGCAGCTCGCTGGTGCCCTGGACCTGCCCGCCGGGTCCTGTGCCTTCGAAGAGAACACTTGTGGCTTTGACTCTGTGTTTGCGTTTTTGCCGTGGATTTTAAATGAGGAAGGTAAGGGGGCTCGGTGGAGAGGAGCCCGAGGTGAACTTTTGTCCTCCGCTGGTTGGCATTTTTTTCCCCACATGGGTAATGTTATCCTGGAGTTGATTCCCCTGGGCAGGAAAAGCGTGAGTCACGGATCCTCCTTCTAACTAACCCTCCACTGTGCTGCTAGGGATGGCGCAGTAGAGAGCGGGACGCTGTCCTTTGTTTACCTGGCCTGTGGTAGAAGCTCTGAGAATTTGCCCCTCACCCCAGCACTCAGTGGAAGGAGTGATTGTCGCCCACCAGCTGTGTGGCCCCAGCAGGTCGTGGGCCTTTCTAGTCCTCAGCAGACACGTTCACACTCGTGAACTGGGGAGTGGATGGCACTGGTTCAGCTTTGCAGAAATGATTCCAGGCTTCCGCTCTGGGACCTCCGTGCTAAGACCTCACATTTATCTGTGCCTGTTTTTCCTGCATGAGTTCACCCTCACACTCCGCTTCTAATCCAGCACTGGACAAAGAAGGAGCCCTAGTCCATGATGGAGTGTCAGAGGTCACTCAGCAGGTGGACACTGGTCACTGCCTCACTACCTCAGGAGGTTTGTGTTACAGAGACAGTTTAAATGTGAGGTCTTCAGAAATGTCTTCTTACCTCCATTTCTATAGAAAAGAGTGACTGGTTCTCAGTGCCCAAGGGCAGTCTCTAGGTGCCTTTCTCTTCCCTTTCTCTCTCTCTCTCTGGTCACCACTATTTAGAAACATGATTCCCCAGATCATTTGGACTGGAAAACAGCCTCCTTTATAAAACACTGCACCATACATGAAACCAGCTAAACCCCCTCCCCCTCAACTGATCGCAGGGCTCACATCCTCCAACCTGGCTCCCTGGAGAAGGATGGAGCCCAGAAGCTATAATTATGTGTATGAATTTGTCACACAGCTCACTCTGCCTCAAGAAACCACTCAGGGCTTTCCTGCCCTCACTTCTCCAACCCTCATGAGTAGGTGATGCCAGCCCCATTCTATAAAGGGAGAAATCTCAGTCTTAGAATATCCAAATGGCTGCTTCATGTGGCACAGTGTCACTGAGTGGCCAACTTTGAGCTGTCTAATTAGGAGAATCAGGGATGAGCTAGTTCAGTAGTAATCTTCATCTATTTCCAATAATTGCCAAGGCCTGACTACCACAGTTTCCTTAGCAGTAGCTGAGGAAAAGCAATTCCTGATTTGTTGTCAGAGGGCTTCCTACTTTACCGATGGCTTTAGGAAAGTGTCTTTAATGTCACCACAGCACCCCTTCTCTGTTCTGCTTGTGTGGGAAAGCATCTTGGGAGATGGCCTTGCATATGCCACGTGACCACTGCTTTGAGAGAGTTATTCTCTAGCACAGGGCTTCGCAAACATTAGCTGCATCAGAATCACCTGGTGCCTTGTTAAGATACATGTTGCCAGGCCCCACCCACTGACCGTCTGATTTAGTGGGTCTGAGAATTTCTAGCTAATTCCTAGAGGCTGCTGCTGCTGTTGGCCTGGGGTCACACATTGAGATCCAGTGACTTCTACTGTGTATGTTTACACATGCATATGCACACACACCCCTTTGTACTGAAGGTCCTGAGCAGGGCCAGGGCTGCAGTGAAGGAGCCACTCACAGGACCCTGAGAGGGAACAGCTTCTGGCTTGCCTCACCTTAGTGCTGGCCTTGAAAATAGGAAGTCGTCCTCACTCCTCAAACCAACCCCAGCCCTCTGTCAGGATGGGGGCCTCTGGGTCAGCGGGCACGCCACAACCTGTGAACACAACTGCCTCCCAGACCCACAGGAAATGCCTGCTGCTGGGCTGGCACCTCTGCCCTAGCATGGCAGTTGAACAGTCCTCCTTCAGGGAAAACAGGAAGATGCTTACAGGAAAAAGTGATTGCAGTTTAATAGTATAATGAAGGCACTGTGGCTTTGCTTTTTGCTTTCTTTCTAACAGCCACTGCTTTCTGGCTCAGGAGTGGGACTACTGGCTTGGCTGGGGAAGTTATTTCATTCTCCACTGAGCAATCCAGGGTGGAGCAGGCAGGTTAGGCTTCAGTCGTTACAGATTTGACTTTTCAAAGGCCAGAACTTGGATCTAGCAGTCCCTCCAGACTCCAGGGCAGTGAGGTAGGTGTGTGCTAGTTGCTATGGTTGCCTGCTAAGAAGCCATCACCAAGAATTTCCCTTATAAACCTCTTTCTAGGTTGGTAAATTAAAGTTAATAAAATTATTCCAGGCTGAAGTTTGGCAAACTATTTACAAGCCGCTCTGTAAATTTATTTTATCTTGCTGCAGAGACCCTTTGAAACTGGTTCTATCAGCTCAGCACCTGTGGCTCAAGCGACTAAGGCACCAGCCACATACACCTGAGCGGCGGGTTTGAATCCAGCCCAGGCCTGCCAAACAACAATGACAGCTGCAACCAAAAAATAGCCAGGTGTTGTGGCGGTGCCTGTAG